CAGGCCCTTTCCACTAGAAGTTATTTGCAGCATATGTTCCGCACATTCATTCTCTTTCAGTCTATTCTTCTAGGGCTAACTGCTAACACGTTATAGTCACCTTGAAATTTCCTCCGCTATTTTCCAATTAAAAGCTTAATAGCCCTGGAAACGGAGTTCATGTGGTGCAGTTTACCATAGCCTCTTCTTCTGAAAAGCTTTCTGCCGGGATCCTATTATGTGCTTGAATAAACCTTTTCTGCGCGCAGAAATGGGAACCTGGTCTGTCAGGTGTTAAGTTTCAATAGACTTTCAGGCAGGGGACGTTTTCCGACCATAAATACGAACCTGGCCCTATAGGGAGATGTTGTCAAATACTAGGACATGGAAACCATTCCCATCAAATATGAGAAAAGGATTACGGCACTATATCAAACGAGTATTTCAGCCTAAACTCGCGGTGTGCAGCCAAGCGAGAGGGGGCCCCCGGCCCCAACCCAGCCCGCCGCCGCGCCGGGGCAGCCCGGCTCGGAAGCAGCAGCTGCCCGCCCACCCTGTCGCGGTGGCGGAGGCACCCCACTGGCCCCGATCCTGCTGGCGGGGGTGAAAGGCTCCCCTCGCTTTCACCTGCGCTAGCATCCCGCTTCTTCGTTTTGTGCGAACGGATTCGCAAGGGCGGCGGCGCATCGTCCTTCACGCGCCCCTTGCCGTTTTGTAGTGGCTGGGTATTTGCTCCGCGTCGGGTTTTTCTGACCCTGACGGGGACCACGCATGTGTCCGGTGCGCCGCGGTGCAGCGGGATGCGGGACTCTACGGGTACAGTGCACGCTCGCCGGCAACGAGGAGCAGGAGGTCCCACCGGCGCTGCGGGAAAACGGGCCGTTCCCAGCACATGAACGATTCGCCTCCCGCCTCGGTGCGGTTAGCCTATGGGCGCTCATCCTCCCTCTCATCCCGCACACAGTCGTGGGGGGAAAGATCTCCCCGAGTCGCTTTCTCCCTAGAAGCAGAAAAGTAATTAGCAAAGAGCCAAGTGATGAAATATAAAGCAAATACCTTCACGCTGGGCTTTTTATTCTTTCTAGCGAAATGCTTTCCCATTTTTAAATCTGATTTTGTAATTAAGTACCCTCGTTAAACGGTTTATTTCGTGTAGCGGTTACAGTGGAGAGGTGCCAGAAAAAAGCAGGGAAGATCTTGGGGCAGTGAAACGGGTTCAAGTCTGAGAAGCAGCCCCAGTCGCGCCGCTCAGTACTGCTGCGCGGGCAGACAAACGCCTGCAGGCAATTTGTGCCCCCGTATTCTCCAGCCGATATTCGTATGTCGTTTTTTCGGTAGTATATTACCGGAAAACGGATTGGTAAAAGAACTACCGAATTTGGATTTAAACTTCTCGCTGCCGTGTTTCAGGGAGAAGCCTTCCCGCGTCCGCAGACACAGAAAATTACCACCGGCTGCATCACACACATCGAATAGGTTGCCAGCAGTCTAGCTTCCCCTGGGCTGTATGTGCCTTTCCATCGCCACAGCTTGCATTTAGGCAGCAGCCGTGGCGAGGGCCGCCGCGGTGGCAGCAGCTCTGCGGGTCACTCTCCGGGCAGCTCCTGCTCCCGGGCAGCTTCTCAAAACTTTGGTGAAACTTTGGCCTCTAAAGCTCCCGCAGCGCTCAGACACGGACTGGTTCACGGCAGCAGCCACACACCGGCCGCCGCTCGTGCCGTCCCGTGGGCTTTCGAGGGACTCCCGCTCGAAGTCCAGGCGCCCCCCGTCTTGGGCTTTGAGATCCCGGTCAAGCGCGGACGGTCGGAGCCTGGGTAAACCTCCCAGACCCACTCGCTCCCAGCCCCGGGCGCTTCTTTCGCGAGGGGGGTGGGAGGGTGGGTGGCATCAGTGCCGACCCCTCGGCACGGCGCAGGCAGCGCCGCCGCCCCCGACGGCAGGACAGACACCTCCCTCATCCCCCCGGCGGCGGCGGCGGGGAAGGAGGGTGACGGAGGGTGGTGAAGGGGGGCGGGCGGGGGACGGGGGCGGGCGGAGGGGCGCTGGGCTCGGCAGGGCGGCGCGGGAAGAGGCAGTGTCGCGCCGGCCGGCGTCAGCACTCTGCCCGCAGGTGCCACCGCGGCGGATACTCCCGCCGGGCCAAGGCTGCGGCGGCGCCCCCACGGAGCCCGCGGGCAAAGCCGCCCGCCTCTTCTCCTCCGCCGTCCAGGCTTCCGCCCGCCCCTGCGGCTCCCTTCTCCGCCCCGGAGCCGATCGGGCTCCTCCCGCGGGCATGAACGGCTACGGCTCCCCGTACCTCTACATGGGCGGCCCGGTGTCGCAGCCGCCGCGGGCTCCGCTGCAGCGGACGCCCAAGTGCGCCCGGTGCCGCAACCACGGTGTGCTGTCCTGGCTGAAGGGCCACAAGCGCTACTGTCGCTTCAAGGACTGCACCTGCGAGAAGTGCATCCTCATCATCGAGCGGCAGCGGGTGATGGCCGCGCAGGTGGCGCTTCGCCGGCAGCAGGCCAACGAGAGCCTGGAGAGCCTCCTCCCGGACTCCCTGCGCGCCCTCCCGGGGCCGCCGGGCAGCGCCGAGCCCCCCGCCCCTCCACCGGGGCCTCCGCCATGCGCCGCTCCGCCGCGGGCACCCGCCGAGCTGGCCGCCGCCGCTGCCCTGCGCTGGGCAGCCGAGCCGTCCGCAGCGCTCCCGGGGCCGCTCCCTAAGGCAGGTGAGGCCGGGCAGGGCGCCGTGGGGCAGAGAGGGGGGACGCGCGGGGAGGAGGGAAGGGCCGGAACCCCTACGAGCGCCTTCGGGAAGGTGACAGCTTTCCCTTCTTCCAGACTGGTGCCGTGGGAAGGGGAGGGAGGGAAAGTCCGACGGTTGCGTTTTGTCGCCCTTAAAAAGGAAGGAGCCGCGAAGCTCGCTGCCACCGAGACCAGCGGAGGGAACTAGTAAAAGCCACCACAGCCGACTGGCTCCCTGACGTGCCGCTTCCGAGCACCTTGGCCTAGGCGGCCCGGGAAATGGCAGCATCCCGAGTGGATCTCGCCCCTCTGCCTCTCCCGGCCCAGCTGAGCCGATGGGAGCCGGGCTTCTCCCAGCCGGGACACCGGGTGCTGTTCTCCGTCCAGGGCAAAACCTCTGTATGGAGCTGCCGGGAAAAAGCGGCTCCGGGAGCAGGGGGGGTTTCTAAAGGGCACGGGGGGCCGGGGGCAGGAAGGGGTGAGCGGGGCTGCCCGGTAGCTAGCGCTTTCCTCCCGTGAGGCTGGCATGTGCCGCCGGGCCATGTTCAGAGCGGTCCTGGCAGGTCGGGAATTCTGACCCGGAAACCGCCGCCCGCAGCCGGCACCTCTTGAGTGTGACCTACCGGTAACATAACTTTTCTGGACGCAAAACTAACGGCCCGGAGCGGCAGTCCCCTTCCCACGCCCCGTGCATGAGCGGGACCCGACAGCCTTTCCCAGCGAGGATGCCCGCAGGCCGCTGCCCGCCGCTCTAGTGACAGGCGGCGGCTGCACCCGGTGCCCCGGTGAACCCCGATCACCGCACGGCTCTTTGCCGGGCAGCCGGAGCCCCTCGGGGTGGGGTGGAGTCGGCCTGACCGCCAAGGCGTTCTCAGGGCTCCCGACAAGGGATTCCGCTCCTCCAGCTCCTGTCCGGGAAACACGCATCGCCGGGCCCGATGCGCTGGCTTGGCCAGTCCGCCGGAGCGGTGAGGTTAGCGGTAGTCTGGGGCCCGCTTCCCCTTGGCCGGCCGTCGGCATCGGCTGCCCGTCCTCTGTCTTCCCTATACCCCGCATCTTCGCTCGGGCCGGGGCGTTGGGCTGTCTCCTCCCCCGGGTTTCCTCCTGGTCTCAGCGTCTTGGCGCCTCGGAGCTGCTTCTTCCGCCGCGGCACCATCCGTGCCAGGGACCGCGGCGAGGAAAGAGGCCGGGGGAAAAATGGAGGAGGGGAAAGCTGCCTTGGCTCCTTCCAGAAAGTAAAACAAATAAACTCCGCCAGCAAGATATAAATCTGGCGGGTAGAAACGGTATTAACTTGCACGCCCAACTTTTCTTCCCCTGATATATGAACTTCCCAGCTTAAAAGATTACAGTAATCACGGGAGGACAGTGTAAATCGAATCTGATAGCAATAACTTTTGGAGAAGGTCAGGCTCAAGTGAAATGTTACCAAGCAACAGGCATTTTGTTTGCAAAATACAATCAAAGTGTATTGATGAGAGATTTTTCCTTGCCAGCCAGTCAGCACTTTCTGCTAACAGCTTCTGGGAGGGGGATAACGGAGATCTCCATAAATCAGGGCCAGCGGCGCCTCGCCGGCCCCTGCCCGTGATGAGGCCAGGCTGGAGGGCACAAGGTATCCCGGGTGCTCCCGCCTACACAGACCTGGCCCGAGTGGTCCCCGGTCCCAGACTGTTACAGGGTTGGGGTATTTTGGGTTGTTGGGTTTGTTTGGGGTATTTTTATGCGTGTGTGCTCTTCTTTTTTTTCCTTTTTTTTTTTTTTCCCTTCTCTTTTTATCTTTTTATCTTTTCTTTTTTCTTTTTTTGGTGGTGGTTTCTGGTTTTGTTTTTCATTCCTTGTCCCCTGCTCTTACGAACATGGGAATAAGTGAGAGCAAAGCAGAAAATGATCGGGGGGGTTCTCCTGTCACCTACCACCAGACACTGTTTAAACAGACAACCTGTTTATTTCCAAACATCCTGCATGTTTTGAACAGCAAGGTTTCCTCTTGCTCTCCAAATCTATTGAAAAACATCTTCAAAACAGACAGCAATTATTTGCTCCCCTAGCTCACCCCTTTTCTCTCTCTCTGCCCCACCTCCCGCCTGGACGTAAGTGTCATGGAAGGTTTTTTTCAGTACGGAGGTGGCATTTCCCAATGTGCAGTAGAATCACATCTGTTTATTCCTGCCGGAACTGATCATTTTGGTGGGACAAGTTGCAAAGCTCGGTTTTATGCAAATAACACACCCAGAAACTACCCCCGTTGTATCTATGTGTGCTAACCCGGAATAATTCCCCCTCCTGACACTGTGCTCATGAACTTTCATCTCCCATTTGAGAGTATTTCTCTTAGTAATAGTTGTCACAGCCTGTAAACAATCAATATAACACTATTATGAGTCTGCTGTTAATGTCAGAGCCAGCTCGCAACACAGTAGTCTTCTGTTAGTTTGGGAGCAGTGACCAGTTTCCTGCAAAATACCGTAGATCTTTGCGGATAAGGAAGAAATTCTGGAGCAAAAGTAATTAAAAAAACCCCAAACAAACAAACAGAAAAAAAAAACAAACCAAAAAACAAAAACCACACCAAAAAACCCACTCACCAACTAACCAGAAAAGTGTGCCCACCCGAAGTCAGTTCTATGCGACCTTCGATTTACGCGGCTTTATGCTTGTTCTGGTATCAGACAGCTGTAGTAGAAATAAGGAAAATAGCAGATGTTTTGGGGATTCAAGAAAATCTGTTGTGGAAATTGCTGTCCTAACAATCAAAATGCAAGCTGTTTTAACAGAGAGTCAGTGGTGGGAATATCAAGGTAGCAAATTCGGTTCCAAAGTATTAGACCGAGTTTTCCAGACAAGTTACTAAGTTGAAGAGAACAGTTTCTCTGTGTCACCCGTTATATTTTTATTTGGCAGCTTTACAGTGTTTGACTCATGATCCTTAATGTATAGTCAAGGAAAAACTGCGACTTACACTGCTCCAAATTTGTAGCAGCTTTATTTTTCAATGTAGATTTTCCTGAGAATGCACTCACAGTTCTCCCACTGTTCTGCATTTCATGTCTACCTGCATTTACACTGCATCTCTGTAGATCTGGGGATGTATCTGTCTCTGCAAGAGTATTATTTGATAAATACTTTCCATCATTTATACCGATATGAAAACAACTTTCCTAGTTTACTCAGGGCTGCCAAAGTGAATACCTGAATGCAGGCAATTCGAAATACAAGGTGTGGGGAAAAAATCCAAACCCCAAACAAACAAAACAGAAGCCCAAAGAAAACAAAACAATAATAATAAAGACAAAATTAAAAAACCCTACAAAACACACACACACACACAAAACCAAAGTAAAATCAAAACCAGAAACGAACGAACCAACTTCCCTCCCTTCCTCCCCCCCCCCCCGCCAAACAACACAAAACAAAACACCCTAAACCCACAAACATGAAGACGTCTGAGGACAAAATTTCTTTCTTAAAGCCCAGAACAATCTTCGTGTGAAACTTACGAGTGGTGGGAAAAATCCCAGCAAAACCTTTTGGCTAAGTGCAGCGGCTCATACAGTCTGAACACAGAATTAGTATTTTTGTACCTGAAAATCTAAACATTTGGGATGAATGCACTCATGCAACATTTCTACAATTCCATGCCCACATAATGGTGTTCATGATGTATCAAAATCGGTGGTATCCCAAATTGTTGTTTATTCAACGATTGCTGTTTTGTGCCCGTTTTACACAGACAGAGCCCCGATCTCGAAGGTTCCCGGGGGGCAGGATGGTGACAGCCCCCGAGCACACTTTCTCCCTGCCCCCCCCCCGTCTGTGACCGTGGTGGGGATGTGGTGTCAGGGGGTGGAAAACAGGGTGGGAAAGGCGGCCTGCGGGCAGGAAGCCATCGGAAAGGGACCCGGTAAGCAAGCGCGGCCATCTGGCTCTCCTGAAGCCCCGGGGAGAAGAGAAACATCAGCCGGCACCGGCGGCAAGATCCACTGTCAAAAAGGCAGAGGAATAAAACATCACGGCATCCAAACTCAGTGTTAACCAGCGGAGAGTCATCCTGTTTGTGCCTTTGGTTTATCCCACTGAAATCCTGTTCTACGGGTCTGACCCTGTGCATGCAGCAGCCTGGCGAGATGCACCGCTGTGATCTGTGCTGTACAAGGGGGCTGTCCCTGTGCCAGGCTAAGGGTTGGGATCTGTGCAGTCTCCAGGTGTTAAAAGATGCAAACCTCAGTGAGATGAGTTACCAGAATTTGAAGAGAATTTTTAGTCAAGCCTGGTAAGGATACTTCTAAGGCTACTCAAAACTAAACAAACCTGAATTATCTTGAAAATAATATTTTGTAAGGATCAGGGAGTGTATTCGGGAGACCTAACCTGATTTTTGTTTGTTCTTTTGGTTTTGGTTTTAGCATGCATTTGCTTCCCAGTGGTATTTGCTATCAGCCCATAAAGATACACTGGAAAAGGTTGTAGTTCTGAAATAGGCTCTACTTGCAAGTGGTCCATTTGGTAGTAATGGGTATCACAGTACAATCTATTTATGTGGAAATTAGGACTATCATCTCCCTTAAATGCCTCTTCTAACTCTAGCAAGACAGGAGAAAGGTAATTAGCAGTTGTCAGACTGCCTGTGAAGCCTTGTATGTATAAATTGCCCATTCACTCAGATGTGAATTATTCTTAGCATCCCACCTTTTATAATTAATGCATGATTATGAATATAAGAAAGAATTAGTAGGGAAAGATATTCTAAGCCTCGTGTTCTTTTGAAATAATGGATGAGCTATGCTGAAGTTT